TCCATTAAATACAGAAGGTTCATTCATATCATTCCATGTAAATAAAGATAATGTTGAACCCTCATAAGATGACAAGTCCATTTTATCAGCCCACCAATCACGTATCACTAGATCAGTAAAATCCAACCAGAATGATGTACCTAATGACAATCAATAAAGATAGATAGAAACCATCATGACATTGGTAGCACATTACTCTAATGGTATTAATGCCGGAGTTGAAGAGCATTGACTGCGTATTACTTTCATCATGGTCTAAGTGCCTGATAAGCTTATAATATTATTTGAGACTAAGTATGCAAATAATCTTGATTTGTAGTACTTACCTGGCCAACACCATCCTTCATAGTCATTACCATCTTTATTTTTCACAAAGTATCCTAAATTCTTAGCTTCTTTGTAAATATGATAACTATCATGCATTTTGATATGCGGATCAATGATTGTAACCATCTTTAAAATAAATAAAAATAAAATAATCAAACCATGCATTAGTTATCAATCTAAGAAATATAGTTTTGTTTTGTTGTAAAAGAGTTGGAACATAAACATGTCAGTGATATGGATTTTGAAGCTAATGCTTGATTCATGATGACTTTTTAACATTAAAATTATTGACATTCATTCATCTTGTACTAACGATACTTGTCCATATTGAGAGATATTGCTCTGAACAAAACAATGGCCACGGATAGGCCATTTTGTATATCTATAACATGATGTATATTGCCATTTTAAATCCCATAATGTCTAATGTATGTACCAATGACCGAGATCCAGTTCCGGAATGCCAGAAATGCTTGATTTTGATGATTTTTTTAGCACAAAAAAGGCATATAAATAATATTATGTATGATGTATGTGTGAAGTTTGAATGTAATCGGTCCAGGCATGTCTAAAATATAGGTACGCACATACGCACGCACAGAGGTCAACTCCCGATTTTCGAATGAGGACTAAAAATGGCGATATATACAATGTGATGGCTAATATATACAATTCAAGGCCTACCTAGTGCAGCTGATACAATTCTCGACCTACCTAGTGCAGCTGATACAATTCTCGACCTACCTAGTGTAGCCAATGCAATTCTTGGCCTACCTAGTGTAGCCGATACAATTCTCGGCCTACCTAGGGTAGCCAATACAATTTACAGCATACCTAGGGTAGCAAATACAAATCTGAGTCTACCTAGGGTAGCCGATACAATACTAAGCCTAAAACTTGCTTACCTTTCTACTCTTAGCAGCTAAGTTATTCTGCATGTCAATTGGGGTGGGAAATTTAGTGCTGTCCCATGTGAAGTATCTGAAAATCAAATTTATCACTGTCAATGAAAGTGTGCTAAGTCATGCAGTGTGAACAGAAAATATGGAAATTGTTCTGCATCATCAACAGCTTCCAAAGAATTGCTAGTCCATACGTTATGGGCAGTATGTGGTGTGGTGGTATAGAATGAATACAGGACATTATGGAGGCAGTGATAAACATGTCCTGATCATTTGTGA